AAGTTTAGTATGAAAAATTTAAAAACAAAAACCACCAATTTTTTTCAGTTCCACTGCTTGCAATTTTCTGCTTTTCCAGGAGATGGCAATCTCTCTCTGCCTCCGTTTCATTACCCTGTTAAGGTAAAGGAGAGAAATTCTATAAATTTCTTATCTGTAACTTTAAATAGGGACCTCGGGAGAAGAGCTATGCCCCAGTTTTATACCACAACAAAGTCAACCTACCTACAGAAAGCAAATCACAAAATAAATCCTCAGAATGTCAGGTCATTAAGCATCGCTACTGTCTACAAACATTTATAGATCATCTATTGTGTGCAAAGTTCCATTTATGGTAGGCCCTGAGGATACACAGATGTCTCAGACTCAATCTATAGACTAGAAAAATGGTCTCCAGAGGGAGGGCTATGATCTCCTAGGGTCCGTGGAATGCTCTCAAGGCTATGTGATCAACTAATTGGAAGGTAGGAAGATGGGTTGCATACCTTTCCCCCCACAGTTAGTGAAGGCAACCATGTAAAGAAAGAGTAATTGATTTATATTGAAAATATATAACTATGGGGCAGCTAGGTGGTGCAGTGGATAGAGCACCGGCCCTGAAGTCAGGAGGACTTGAGTTCAAATCCAGTCTTAGACCAAACACTTGACACTTACTAGCTGTGTGACCCTGGGCAAATCACTTAACCCCAATCACCTAAAGAAAAAAAAAATGAAAATATGTAACTACACCAACCTTTCACCTATTCAACCCAACTTTCTCACCTATTACAACCCACTTTACCCCCTTCTGCCATTTGTTAGAGCTCTCAACCTCCCTCCTCCTTAACCAGGTATTGTACCCTCTGGACAGTTATAACTTAACCTGGGGACCTTAGGCAGAAGTCGTGCAGGTGCCATTGAGAAATGCACTGATTCCTTCTCTATACTAATCCTCCCTCCCTCAGATTATCTCGTGGCAGTGGCAGGTACTTTTCTAAGGACAAGACCTGTGCTCTGGGTCAGCGATGTGTGATTAAGATACCTACTCCCCTTCTTTCAATTTGGGGTGGAAGAGTCAGGTGCCCAGACTGAACAGCGATGGATGGTTGACAGTGTGCACTACAGACCTCATTACATTATCATTCCCCTCAAACCCACTCACCCCTCTTCCTAAATTCTGTTTCTGTTTGTGGTACTATTATCCTTCCAGTCTCCCAGGTTTGCCTCTTTGTTATTCCCGATTTCTTGCTTTCACTTACTTCACATAATCCAAGCAGTTGCCAAATCTTGCCTATTCTGTCTACGTTATCTCTTGTGTTCATTCCCTTCTCTCCACTCACAGGGACACCACCCTATTTCAGATTATCATCACTTCTCTCCTCTTCTCCCATGGTCTCCCTGACTCCAGTCCCTCCCTACTCCAATCCATCCTCCACACACCTGTCAAAATAATTTTCCTAAAGTATAGGTCTGACCATATATCACCTCCTACTCAAGAAATTCCAGTGGTTTCCTTATTTCCTCTCGGATCAAACATAAACTTCTTTAGTTATCATTTAAAACACTTCACAACCTGGCCCCAATCTGCCTTTCCTGTCATGTTATTCATTACTCCCTTGGCTGGACTTGACAATCAGCCAAACTAGCTTTTTGGATGTTTCTCACAGTCATACAAAAACAAACCTAAACTATTCAAACATTAAAAGGAAATTGAGGTATGATGCTATCCATTAAGCAGAACCAGGTAAAGAAAGAAGAATGAATTTACATTAAAAATTTCTGACTTGAAATCAGAAATAATTTACTTTTTTTTTGGTAAGGCAATTGGGGTTAAGTGACTTACCCAGTCACACAGATGGTGAGTGTTATGTGTCTGAGGCCAGATTTGAACTCAGGTCCTCCTGACTCCAGGGCCGGTGCTCTATCTACTGCACCACCTAGCTGCCCCAATAATTTACTTTTGCTTGTTTTCATGTTAAGTACAACGAATATCTGCATGCAGACAAAGATATCTCCTGCCGAAAAGCTGTTATTTTTCTTGACTGTTATGACATTATCCATAAATTAAAATAATATACAGTTAGTTAAAACATTAAAATGCTTTACCTAAATTCACTTGCTTGGCTAGCTACATTGATCAAATTAACTAAAGTTACTAAAAAATCATTATTTACTAATCTACCCTATACTTCAGGGATTTTTTGAAAAATAATGAAGCATATTGAATCTGTAGATTCTGTAGAAAAAAGGTTTTGTGTATAATTAATAAAATAAATTTGAAATGTTTCATCTTTATCTCATACTTTTAAATTCCTATTTTGTGTATGTTTTATCATATACCTAGCATGTTAGTATAATAATATTGCTTATCATTTATGAATAAACAAATATGTACATGGTAGGAGCATGTACTCAAATATTTTTTACTGAGGGTACGATAAAAAGCAAACAAACTTGGAAACCACTGTTCCACAAGACGAACTACTTATTATAAGGGATGAATTAGTGGTAAAGGTAGTTCAGATGAAGAAGAGGCCATCGGGATAGGGTGATCAGGGAAAGCTTACATATTCCCTCCTCACCAGTAAAAAACAAAAATTTCAAGCCACTGTACAGGTTAATCAGTTAATCAACAAGTATTTTTACTTACTATTTATAAAGTATTATTTTATTAAGTATTGTTCAGTTGTTTTTTAGTTGTGTCTGACTCATCATAATCCCATTTGGGGTTTTCTTGGCAAAGATACTGGAGTGGTTTGCCATTTCCCTTTACAGATGAGCAAACTGAGGCAGACAGGGTTAAGTGACTTGCCCAGAGTCACACAGCTAGTAAGTGTCAGAGGCCAGTGAACTCAGGAAGATAAGTCCGTTAGTTTCAGTTCTTCATCTATAAAATGAGCTGGAGAAGGAAATGGCAAACTACTGTAGTATATTTGCCAAGAAAACCCCAAATGGGGATATGAAGAGTTGGACACAACTGAACAATATGGGACCTCCAACCAAAATTGCCAGCAAGGAACTGGTGATGTGTAACAGGCTCTAATGAGAAAGAGTATGTTTGGAAAGACAGATCTAGGAGGCATCTGCATAGAGATAATAATTGAACCTATGGGAGTTGATGAGATCATCCAGGGAAAGTGTGTGAAAGAGCATTCTGCTTCCAAATAGGTAGGATTTAAGTAGGGAAAGTAACACAAATATTCAATCTAAATCCCTCAGAAGTAAGTTAAAACTCCTCTCATTTTCCCTATTATCACTGGTAGCGTGATTTAGGTACTTCTCTCTAAGACTAATGGGTCACTAATTCCCTCTGATTCTACTCATTTCTGAGTAGAGATCTCAGGAAATGACAGCAGAAAGATGGACACTCTACCCCCGGGAAACACCTCAAACCCATTGATTATTGCATATAATAGTCTATATATCCCTCTTCATCCAAATTTTCACTCTAGACACCACTATCTTTCTTTCCATTACTTCCTCTCTATCCTTCCTTGCCTTTCTTTCAATATTTATAAAACCTCCACTTTGAATATCATAGTAGTGTGCTAAGCATTTTCGTGAACTCATAGAACTTTAGATGGGAAAGAAACATTGGAGATCTTGTGCTCTAAGGGTTCTTAACTTGGGGTCCATAAACTTGTTTTTGAAAAATGTTGAGAGCTATATTCCAATGTAGTTAGTTTTCTTTGTAATCCTATGCCATTTTGTGCATTTAAAGCATTATTCTGAGAAGGGGTCCACAGGCTTCATTAGACTGCCAAATATCTATGACACAAAAAAAGCCTAAGAACCCTGATTCAGTCCAACTGCCTAATTTTACAGATGAGGAAATTAAATCTTAGAAGAAGTGACTTGTCAGAACTAGAACTCAGGCCTTCTGATTTCAGTCTAGCACTAAACCAAGAGGTCCCGCTTTAGAATCATCAGACATCCTCCTTTCTGGGCTCTGAGGGAGTAATCAGATAAAAATGTTTTATGCTTCAACATGGCCTGGCACAGGAAGTAAAACCTGTCAGAGCATGTGACTGGCATAATTGGTGTGATGAAAAAAGGCATGGAGGGCAATAAGGATTAAAAATTCCTTAAAACCTTGTCAGGTCCTTTGCTTACCTACCACTTGTTTCACTGAATGGTAGACCATATTTCCTCATTACTCCCGGGTAGGGGGGTGGGAAGCCTGATTTAGGTTTGTAGTGGGATCCTTTCCAATCACTCTAGGCCTGATAAGTGTTCACATTCTCTCTGGCCCTCTGGCCCCTGATGTTCTGTGGGCAGTAACCACCACTGCTGCCTGGTCTCGGGGTTCTCTCCTGAGATTTGAGAAGAGTAGAAAGTACCTAGTGAGGGAGGCTAAAAGCTTGAAGAAACATCAAAAAAGTGCTGGTTCAAGGGTTCCTAACCTTCTTCTATCTATCCATCTATCTATTCACCCATCCATCCACCCATTTATTTATTTACTTGTGTATCCATTCATTCATCTATTTAGTGCTTTAGACCCCTCTGTGAAGGCTACAACTGTGTTCTCTGAATCTTTTTAAAAGCATAAAATAAAATACACAGGATTACAAAGGAAACTAGTTATATTGAAATAGTTTTCAAAAAATAGTTTACAGACCCTAGGTTAAGAATCTCATGTGGGGTGCTTTCCACCAGGCAAGTTAGGTTAATCCCCCTAGTATCAGACTACCAGGGAGTTTCCAGGCCATAGTAATCCACTGCTACTGTCTCCCTCGTTGAGAGAGAAGGGGAGGAAATGCAGAGAGTGTCAGTAAGCCTATAGGATAAACATCCAAGCATCCTAGTGTCCAGGTCCACTGTACTCTTGATACTCAGTTCTCCGTTCCATGTTTCTTGATCTTCAATCCCCAAACCCGCCCAACCCCTCCCTCCCAGACTTGCCCTTCTCAAGAGGCAGGGTCTGAACCTGTCAGTATTACCAGTAGAGGTTACTCCCCTGGGGCTTGGGAAAGCTGCTTTGAGGAGCTCAGCCACCTAAGTGGCTTTTCTCTGAGAACCAAGGGAACAAAGTTGCCTCTATTCACTGGTCCTGAAACCAAAGGTTCTAGCATTCTCATTCTTATCAGGTAAGTGACTCTGAGAATCCCACAGACCCCCCCCCCCCAAGATTTTTCCCCCCATTTGACCACTCCGAGCTTCTGGGGTCCAGCCTCAGAGCAGTATATATATAGTTTGTACATAGTTGTTTGGATTTTGTCTCTTTTACATTATGAATTCCTTGAAGTCAGCAGTTATTTTGCCTCTCTTTAAATCCTCCGTTATTTAGTAGAGTGCCTGGCACATAGTAAGCGCTTAATAAATGCTTCGTCATTTGAATAGCAGAGTGGTTCAAGGAGTCCCTGAAAGTGGCTTGCTCTGGGCACACACAGTATCCAGGAGCTCCCCCTCAGCTCCTCTCTGGCCCCAGCTATGGTTCTACCCCAGCTTCCCACTACTCCATCAGGCTGAGATTCACTTTGAAGGCTATGGGGCAGGTATCTCATGACCTGTTGAAAAGATGAGGAACCTCCTTTGTTCTCTTATAAAGGGTGTTCTGGAAAGGAACCACAGAGGACCATTTCTCTGACCTTCGCCCAGTTGCTTAAGAAAGCTCCTTAGTGATGGAGGAGACAGTTGCAGTAGGAGCCCCCAGAGCAGACAGGATATCTGCACTGAATGCTTTGCCCTGTCAGAAGCCCAAAATCTCGAGCCCAGTCTGGGGACTTTCCGAATCCCCAAGCCACCAACGCCGTCACACACTCCCGGCCAGTGAGTTCCGATGTCTCTCACCAGGAGATGCCATCGGTGTGTTTGAGATTGAGCGAGAAGGTAAGTCACTGACCCTGCAGTGTGGATCAGCTCTTTTAATTTACTTTGCTATTCAAATGAGGCCCAAATCAATACTTGGGGATTGTGGATATTGGGGCAAGTAGGGCGAAATGGTAGAGATGAGACATCTCAGGTTGCTCTTGTCCTATGGGCAGAGGATAGGATGATAAAGTGAGAAAAAATCACAGCAATTGTCCAGTCCCTTCCTTTTAAATAGAAGGAAACCAAGGCCCAAATCACATGGCACGGGAGGGCAGAGCTGGGATAAGAACTCAAGTCTCCTAACTCAGTGCTTTTTCAGAGCAGGAGGTTAAATGAGTCCATTCTTAAGCCCAGGCTACTTGGCCTTTATTTTTTAGTCACTTCATACTGAAACACTGCTGAAAAGAGTAGGGAGGGTTGTTTTCTGTCCTTTGTTCTCCAAGAGGACTGTGACATCAGGAAGGTGAAGCTGTGACATGCATGAGAACTTGAGCCATCTGGGTCCAGTACCAGGACTAGAGATGGCCCCTAGTAAAGGGGGTAGAAGAGAATGAAGTACATTCCCTTCCTTCCTTCCTTTCACCCTCACCTGTTTTCTAAGTTGTCCTGGAGTTCCAGGTCTGTCCACATACAGCAGTCACTAACGGATGGATCTGTCTTGTCTCCTCCCATCCACAGCTTTCATTTCTGTGTCTGGCAGCTGTCCGCTGTACATAGATGAGATCCGGCACTTCCTGACCCTGTGCCCAGAGATGTCCCTGGGCTGGTTTGAGGAAGGTCGGCTTGTAGCTTTCATCATTGGCTCCCTCTGGGACCAGGACAGACTGACACAGGTGAGGTACTGGGGGTGGGGAGTGGGGTGGTAAGAGAGAATGGGAGATGTAGAAAGGCCCAGTCCTCTAGGAGAGGCTTCTTCTTAGCCAAACTTGGTCCCAGACTTTTTTTTTTCTTTTTGCAAGGCAGTTGGGGTTAAGTGACTTGCCCACAGTCACACAGCTAGTAAGTGTCAAGTATCTGGTCTGAGACCGCATTTGAACTCAGGTCCTTCTGACTCCAGGGCTGGTGATCTATCCACTGCGCCACCTAGCTGCCCCTGATCCCAGACTCTTTTTAAGCGATGGTGACCTATGTCAGACAGATTATTTACCCAGAGTGAGGAGAGGTAATTCGTTTATGTCCTCTCTCAACAATGAACAGAGGAGCAAACTCTTCCCTCACCTTCTACTTTCCAAGGCTAAAATAAGGAAACTGGAATTATTTCCTCTTGCTCCAATACTTAGGAGTGCACTAAGATTCTCCAGTGACTTTCTCAAGAGAGTATCTGAACTACCTTAAGTATAAAACTACCTAATTTTTTGGGACACCCTGTTTTTCCCCCAACCCAGATAGGTCCTGGCCAGACAGATTGCATAATTCTTGGGGTTTGGTGGGGGAAAAGAAGTGAGTCAGATTTAATTTCTTCCCTTTTGGCCACCAGGAGTCTTTGATGTTACATCGGCCTGGGGGCCACACTGCCCACATCCACGCACTCGCAGTACACCACACCTTCCGCCAGCAAGGCAAAGGCTCCATCTTGTTGTGGCGCTACCTGCAACACCTATGCTACCAGTCATCTGTTCGCCGGGCTGTGCTCATGTGTGAGGACTTCTTGGTGCCCTTCTATCAGAAATGTGGCTTCCAGATAGTGGGTCCATGTGCGGTCAGTGTGGGTACCCTATCCTTCACTGAACTCCAGTGCCCAGTGCAAGGTTATGCCTTCCTTCGAAGGAACAGTGGTTGCTAAGTTTTTTCTTCCCTTTCCTCCAGTACTCTCTCTTCCCCTCTGAAGCAGAGTCCTTCTAGATCCTGGTAAGAGCATAAAGGCCCTTTGGTGACTGGAAGGAAGTGGTCTGATGGACCGCTGCTGCCATGACCATTGCTCAGATTTTAACAGCAGCAAAGCCCAGCCACACAGGTCTAGATTTCCTACCCTTCCCACCATCCCTCTCCAAGTCCCATCCCAATTTAGTTGAATTGTTAAAAGAGCCAATAAAGGAATTCTCAGTTGTCAGGGTGGGGCTTGGACTAAACAAAGATGGCAGCCTCCCTTCTCCCAGGACAGTCCAGCCCAAGTTCATATGAGAGGCCAATGGGAACAGCAGCCTAGGAGGGGTAGATAGATGAGAAGTTCTCTCCAATATTTGAAACTCTATATTCAAAGAGAATTTTCATTTAGCAAATGAGAATGTTCCATGTTGCACGTGAGCGTTTCTTCAACCCAGGGCGCAATCACCCAGCCCTGAGGGTCCCACCTTGCCCCTCCAACAGTGGAGACAAGGGCTCTGCCAAGAATATTTTTTTCCCACCTCTAGGAAAGGCAATGGGATAGGGGAGGGACAGTTGGCCCCTCTATGTCTCCCACTCCTGGGAATGGAAGGAAATGCTGGCTCAACTCAAAGGTAGCAGGAAGGGATAACTTTCTCGTGTGCCATGGCTGCTTCTAAATCCCCCTGAATATGTGGGAGTAGGGGAATGGGAAAAGAACATTCCATTCTTAATTGGAACAGACTGGGAAGGACAACCTTTTTTCCCCATAACCTTCTCTCTTGGCAGTCAAAAGAGGGCTCCCCACATGAACCCTACAACTTTCCCCAAACACAGAACGTTCCAGTTCCTCTTTCTAGCAACGACCCCATGAACTGCCCCAACTCCAAAGTCTTCAACCTCTCTGATTTCACGTCCTAGACAAAATGGCTAAACTGAAGTGTCCTTCCTCTCCACCTCCACCCCTCCCCCACCCATACCCACTGTAACGTAAAATAAAGCCATCAAGGCCCTATCAATCGCGATCATGGTTCATTTTCACATTACCGAGTCTCAGCTTTTGCTTTGTTTCTAGTTTCTGCATTTAAAATAAACATTTTTCCCAAGGATGAAACTTACACTTTGTTTTCTATAAAGAATATTTAATTAACTAGTGATACTGTCCACAACAGTTATCACTAAACTGGCTTAAGTTTTAAAAATAATAATTCCAAAACGAACCTGTTAAAAAAAAAAAGGAACTCTCCTAATCTGAATCAGCTCCCCAAAGCTAGCCAGGTTTCATCCTCATTACTGGGTGTGCTGTGAGGTAGAAAGCTATTGAGGCTGGGGAGTGTTACTGAAGAATCTCAGTCAGTAGTAGGGGGAGAATGGGGAAGAGGAGGTGAAGGACAGAATCAGGAGGCCTCCAACTCCTAGATCCAGCCCATTCCCAGTCAAACAGCATTTTTACCTTCTTAATCTCTCTTCCCGTCTCTGTCCCTCCCTTTTTCTCTTTCTTAAGGGCATCCACCAAACTTCCTAATATGGAATCCATCTAAGAAAGGTTTACAGCCCCCAAGACAACTCATTGAAAGCCCTGGGGGTGAGGCAGTGAGGCAGGGGAGATGGGGAAGGAGGGACCACCCCATCTACCACTGAAAAGTTTCTATGGGAGTCTGGGGATGGGGAGGTTTAGGAAGGGAATCTGGCCCTTCAGACCTTTCCACAGTCTATGGCAGCCTCAGCAGCAGAGACCTTGCACAGAAAAGGCTTCCTCAGGTTGGGAACGGATTAAAGGTACTGAAGGGCGAGAAGACACCAGGTCAGGCTATGGCTAAGCATAACCAAAGGCCTTGGAGGAAAAGAAAACCATCCAAGACAATCTCGGATGGTCTTTTAAAAAGTAGCTCCCTGGGTGTGAGGTGGGGGAAAAAGATTTCCTGGCTTCCTAATGGTGGTGTAGGGAAGGCAAGGGGATATGAATCTGTGTGAACCAAGCTCCCTAGGGGTAGGCTGCTCGGGCCTCCCCTAATAGGCCTCGGTCAAGAACATGAGGATATAAGAGAGAGAGGGGCCTCCATTTCCCCAAATGCCACTGGGAACCTGAGTAGCCTTCTCCTGCCTGACCTATCCACACCAAGCGGATGCTGCCCCAGCCCCCTTCTAGGAGTTGCCAGTGAGTGAGTGCCCTCTGACTCCAAGAGGATTTTACCACCACATTCACGTAGCCTCCCAGTAGAGGGAAAGGAGATTTCCATGGAGCTCCCCCGGGAGAAGCCATGCTCTCCCTTTCTCCTCTACGGCCCAAAACTTTGGTGGCACCAGATACCAAAAAGGGGCCCTCTCCTAGCTTTCCATCCTTGAGCAGGCCTGGAGCCCAGGATCGGGGAAGGGTGTCAGTGCAGCACCTGGTCCAGCTCGTATTTCTCACAGAATCGGCTGGTGAAGGGGAAGCAAGTGAGGTATTCGATCCAGGGCCAGTTGATGGGGTAGACATACAGCCAGATGACAAGGGAGGCAAAAAGACCTGCAAAGATGACCAGGGACACCAGGATCATGGCTCGCTTGCGGTACTTGTCTCCTGTGCCAAAGGTGATGTAGGGCAGGAAAGCGAAGGAGAGTAGCAGGCCACTGAGGAAACCGAAGATGTGGGCGATGTTGTCGATCCAAGGCAGAAGCCCACAGATGAAGAGGAAGAATACGATGCCCGACAGGTTCAGGAATGCCTTCCAGGGATTTTCCAGGAGCTGCCAACTCTGGATGAGCTCCACAAAGAGGCAGGCAAGGACACCAAACTGGGAGCCTGCAGGGCCCACCTGAGGAGAGGAGGGCACAGTAGCATCACTCAGCCCTGGTAAAGGTTTGGGAGCCACAGCAACCAGAACTGCTGGGTTAAAGACTGGGGCCATTCCTAGGCAGTCAAGGAGCGAATCAAGGACAAGGCTAAATGTCAATGAAGGTCCTCCGGTGAGTCAGCATCATCCGCTGCCGCTCCACTCCCTCCCTCATCCATGGGGATTAGAGGGCCAGTCAGCTAACCCTACAGGATTAGGCATCATCCTGCTAAGCCCTGACAGGGGAGACCAAGACAGGGAGGAATGCGGGGTGTCATCCTGGCACATAAACAGGGTCTGAAGAGGACAAGCCAGGGCAGAAAGCAAAGCTTCCTAGAGAGAAGCAAGGTCCTCATAAGTAAATATGGCTGGGATGGGAAGCAAAGATAGGATGCACTCTCTGATCCCAAACCCTTCTCCTTAGAAACTGCCTAATGAAAAAAAAAAAAAGAAAAAAAAAGAAAAAGAAACTGCCTAGTATCGTAGGGGACTCTTTCTCCCTCCCCCGAAGCCAAAGCGTTTAGAGTTCATCACCTATTTTGAGATACTGGGTAGGGGACAGTCCTTCAACCGCTGGCCTAGTCCATATCAAACACCCCCAGGAACCAAGGGGATGGGAGATAGAGATTCCCTCTATGCCCAATCTTTCCCCCAAAGAATTCCATTTCCAAGGATAAGATCACAGAATTCATACTGGACAATATGTCTCTGGGTCTCCTACCTCTGCTCTATATGGGAGGAAGATGGCGCTGGCTAGGTTGCCTGTGATGCCACTGAGGATAAAGATGATGGCAATCCGGTGCCAGCCCGCCAATTTTTCCAGGTCCCGCAGAATGGTCATTTGGAAAAGCACAGACACGAAGCAGTGCCCCAACCTAAGACAGGAACAGAGTGTCTTTCTTCATCATTGTGGGCCTAAAAAATACTAGAGGTTGAGATCCTATGCAGGCCTCTTCTCTCAAAGGTCAGAATTCCGCATTTTATTTAGAACTCTGAAGGGTAGCTAGATGGTGCAGTGGATAGATTACACATCCTGAAGTCAGGAGGACCCGAGTTCAAATCCAGCCTCAGACACTTACTAGTTGTGTGGCCTTGGGCAAGTACTTAACCCCAATTGCCTCCAAAAATAAACAAATACCCCAACCAACAGAACTCTGGGGCCAGGCAATTTCTCTAAATTTTTACTGCTAACATGGCTTCCCAATCTACCTTTCGTCATATTGGGTTCTCTAAGCTATTCTCTCCAATCCTGCAGTAGCTAAAAGCTGCATGTCCTTCCTACGTCCTTCTGACTCCTCCTTTCTATTTTGATCAGCCCAACTCCTTCTTCAGGACCATTTCACCTGGGCTTACTCCCATACTAGCCCATTCCCCTACTCCCATTACCATCCCATGGACTAGTGTCCACCAGAACTCCTGCTCAACAAATGTACTACAGGGGTGGAGAACCTGCAGCCTCGAGGCCCCATGTGGCCTTCTAAATCCTTGGGTGTGGCCTTTTGACTGAGTCCAAGTTTTACAGGACAAATCCTTTTATTAAGGGGATTTGTTTTATGAAGTTTGGATTCAGTCAAAGGTCCACACCTGAGGACCAAGGCCTTGAGGCCACAGGTTCCCCACCCCTGTGCTACACCCTCTTGAATTTTCTTGGTGCCCTCCCCTCATACAAATACTTTTTTGATATCCTCAGTTGGGTTCTCACTCTTGTCCCCAAATCACTTTATATTTACTTATCTGTGTGTGCTGTGTATTCCCACCTGTGCCTAACTCCCAAAGTGGACTACAGATTCCTTGGAGGGAAAGGCCAATTCGTTTTTTTGTCTTTGTATCTGCAGACCCTACCATAGTAACCTGCTCATAAGCAGCACTTATATGCTTGATGAAAACCATCTCCTCCAGACTGGATAATCCCTACCATCTCCCATTCTACTTCTGGGTGGATGAACATTGCTAGGGAGTCATAACAGCAAGCTGATGCTACTATTACCATCTAGGGGGTGCACTTGCAAGTGAATGTTCACTGCTGCTTAGCAATTTCTTACATCATTCTCCAAAGCTACTGTTCCAAACCTTTTCGGCTCAAGCCTTTAACCATATTCCCTGCTTCCTCCCCCCACTCAGGTTCAGGCCACTGGAAGGATGTAGTATTGTTAACCCAGATGCAAGTTATAACTCATCAGTAGTCAAGTCTGCTGACAGGTCTTAACAAGCAAGTGTTGGCAGGCAAGCATGTCGAGAATCGTCAGGAAGTCCAACATGCATCAGTAGGAATATGTATGTGTAATGACTTGTTTGCAATATGATACTATATGGTTACATGATGCAATATTGTGTCATTAAAATTTCAATGCAAGAAAAAACCACAAATTTACAGTAAATTATTAAATTTAAGATGCATCATTTTAAAAA